CCTTTCCTTTTTTTTTTGCCCCCAGACCCCCCCCCCCCACACGGCCCCTTGTTTTTCCCCCCTCCCCTTTTTTTTTTTTTTTTTTTTTTTTTTTTTCCCTCCTCATTCTTTGTCTTTTAATCTGCCTCTCTCCTATGCAGTGTCCTCTCCACACTCATGCATTCTGCTTTGGTTGATAACTCACTCTGCCCAAAGCTTTCTGAGGCAGACTTTAGAACCGTGACGGAGGTAAGCTGAGGAGGAGCTCGTCGCTGAAGTCGTCCCGTCGAGCTTAGCGCGCCTCTAGCATGCAGGTTTCAGTCATGGCAGGCCCAATGAGTCTCGGTTCCTCTTTGTTTTACGTTCAACCAAACAAATGGGAATGAATGAGTGAGCTTAGTGAGGAAAATATTGCATGTCTCATTTTGATTAGTTTTTATTATTTGTGGAGTTGTTTTTTTTTTCTTATTTGCAAGCTTTCTTGTTTTTTTTTCTTTTCTTTTTTTTTTTTGCTGTTTCATTTCTCATACAGAATGTGTTGTAGTCCACTGTTGGCAGAGGCGCTGCTGTTTCTACTGGCCATCAAGTTAAAACACCAGTTTACCCACAAGGTTCCTACGTCGTCTGGAAATGCTTGGAATTACATTTTTACAAGTTTTTATTAATGTGGGGAAAAAGTAGTGGGGGGGGGGAGTTTATAATGTATTACTTTGATCAAAACTAACAACTTATCGCTCATCTCCACTGCCGGGTCATCCAGTCTTTGACAGGAATGAGCTGATCCTGGGATAATTCATGGCTTCAGTGTGTATTCTAATGGTTTGGAAAATGAAACGAAACTGTGGAAGCACATATTTTGTGGATCTGGACTTGGAAAATGCCAAACGCATATTTCATACATTTCCACTGAGTAGGAACATTATGATAGTGGTCACTAAATGTTCCCATTAAAGCTGCAGTATGTAACATTTTTCTTGCATATCTGTTAAAACATTATAACACGAGACAATCTGTGAAAAAAATCCAGTTCATCTACGTTTGTAGTCCTACTGCCATGTAGGACTACACCTCCAGTCAGAAACAACCAATCAGAGCCAGGAGGAGGGTCTTAGCATTGTCAGTCATGCTCATGTACTTGCTACTCACCGTGCTAATGGCAGAGAAACAACTTAATCTTCCAGGAAAACTGTTTATCCACCATCATCGGTGGCTATGCTAACTTGCCTTAGCATTCACAACAGACTCTGTGGGAGGAGCTGTAGCCCCTCCTCATGGCTCTGATTGGTTGTTTTTCACTGAGCAGTGTATTTCTGCAGATGGCTGTCAGACTGTAAGGAGGAGCTTTATTTTTGTCAGATTCTCATGTCATGCTGTCAGGACATGGTGACAGTTGAAACAAATATATGAAAAACATAAAAAGTTACATACTGCGTCTTTAAGAACTTCTTGTAGAATTATTATAGTGCAAAAAACACAAGTGGTGTTGATTGTTCCATTTTATTGGTCTAGGAAGGTTAAAAGCTTTCAGGAGACATTAAAAAAAAACTGTCCCATGACTTCATCTGGCATCATCCTGATCTGGTTAAAAGGTCAGTGTAGAAATATTGCCAAGCGCTCAACTACATAACAAAGATATTGCAATCTTGTCAGATTTTCTGGCCAGTACAAACAGGAGAAATGATTTGCAGAACATTTTTGTCCTTTTTTTTTTTCTTTCTTCTTTTAAAGACCTTGAATGCTCCAGCTGTGTCTGCACCGTCGTCAGTCGTGAAGCAGTAAGGTTTGTGTATGTGAGAGATATGGTGCGTGCACATGCTCACTGTGGTGTCGTCCTCAGGGAATCGAGCGTCTGAAGGGGGAGACGGGGAGGTGGGGCAAAGTGCCCTGCTGGGAGGCCATGCAGACAGCGTTCGGGGGCCGGCCCTCCCCGTCCTGGTTCAGCCCCTTCACAGGCCTCAGCTGTCAGAATCGGCCTGTGGATCACGTCCCCATCCCACAGGGGGACATCATTGAGCAGGACGTCATAGAGATACCACTCACACCTACTTCATGACGACCAAGGCTTAGACAAGGGACTGCTGTTTTGTTTTTGGGTTTTTTTTAAAAATTGAAATACGATATTGTCTAGAATATGAACTTATTTTATGTGTTTTTGATTGAACGCGTTTTCCCTGTAATGGTGTTGGGAGGCTGTGCTGCTAAAGCAGAAATATTTTTTTACTTAGGGGGATAAGGGCTTGTTTTCGAACAGAGTGGTGTACTTATGAGCAGTCACTATCCTACCCCTGCAATCTGAGATTCCAACATTATTAAGGATTTTTCTGGTGGTTGAGTCAGTCATAGGTAATCAGAACTTCACTACAAAAATACAGAATCTGGTTTGGTCTGCTTTCTAGTGCAAATATGTCAACAGACTTGAAATTTGATTTAAAAAAAAAACTTACAAGTAACTTTTCATCAATATTAAGGAATTATTTACTTAAACAAGCTCATATCTTACTGAAGAAGTACTGGATCCATTGGCAGATTTTTTTTTCACTTTTAACATCGGAAAAATATCTTATAAGTTAAATAATTTGCTGGTGGAACAGGGAAAACTGAGCGAGCGAAGCATCTGAGACATGAAGTTAATGTTGGAGAGCGAACAGAAATGATTTTTAACAGAGCGCACATAAATGGACAGCATGCCGGACTGTTGGCGGCGCTTCACCAGAACAAATCTGCTCGATTAATCTGGAAACTGATTTCTTAGCTTGCTCAGACCAAAGAAATTGACCCAAATTACTACAAACCAAGTGTTTTCCTCAAGCATCAATCTTAAAGGAGTTGTAATCATACTGCTAAATAACAGCAGATCCCTGTAATCTACTGGTCTGTAAGTTATTTCTAAAATAAGACAAAGAAGCCACAGGCCTGAACAGTTTATCATGTGCCTTATTCTTAATTATGACTAATTAATCTGAGTGGATTCACTTTAGCATCTGATCTCTGTTCGTTGGAGTGTCTTCTGTTTATGAAATGTTGGAAACATACCTGGAACTGATTGGTTACATGTTAACTGGTGAATGGGTGCTGAATACTATGGGACTATGCATAATGTTTACAGTCCTTTATTGTTTTGTTGTGTGATTTTATTTTTAATGGATATATACAAATATTTATATTTTCTGTTCATAAAACTGCTTTTTATGACTTTAATAAAATTAATTATTACAAAAAAACTCAGCTGCTTCTTCAGACAAACTTGCATTTTGGAAAAAAAAATTAAGTATAAAACACGTTTGAACTTAAAAGAAAAATGTTTCTGTCTGATCAACAGTTTATCTTTTTTACTCAGTGCAAGGGTTAAGAACAGTCTGGTTATTTAATACCTACAGGTCTAAATGAGGGACATTTATTGATCCTTTGTGATTTTGGCATGTCTTCCACAGTGCTATGCATAAACCCTCCACAAGGTGGAGTGAAAACATGAACAAAGCAAGCATTGATCATTTTTGTAGAGCTTTTTCATACCTAAACAAAATAAACTAATACTTGAACTTTTTGTGAATTGTATTTTTTCTGTTTTCTTCCCAAAGCGTGGATTAAACCGGTTTCTAAAGCCAAGAATGAGGCAAACCTATTCCTACAGGAACAAGTTAAACTGTTCAGAAAAAACTCACCACAAGCTAATAATAGAACCAAAGTATGAATTTATTTTTATTCAAAATGATTTAATATTTACAAGTATTCACTGATTAGAGATATCAGCCACAACCTGACAAGTCCAAGTCAACAAGAAATATAATCTAATTTTACTGATCAGGACTTAAAGGGCTTTTACAAGTGACTGGTAACTTATCAGTCACCCAGCTCAAGCTCTATAACCTTGTTTCCACTGAGCTGTAGAACACGGGTCGGAACAGTTCTGTACGACATTTTGCCTATTTCTACTGTAACAGTCAATGGAAACCACCAGCAACCCTCCCAACCCCACTAAGGGACAAGGGTGTAAAGAAAATGAATGAATGGACGGACGGACAGTCAATGGACAGTCAATAGAAAGTCATATAGACCTAGAGCCTTCCGTTCAGGTCTGTGGGTCTTCAGACAACGGTACGGAGCTAACTAGCATCATACAACACAGTCCATTGATTGGGGAACAGAAAGACATCAATCCTTGTCTCACTAATCCATGAGACATACACTAGCATGTCTCATGCTAGAGACTAGAGACAATCCTTACATGTGAAGCTGATCTTATCAACCTCAGAAGGTCTAAAAATCAATCACTGTCCTCTTCTGATCTGCTATGAGATGTTTGACTGACAGACCCTCCCACCAGGTCATGTCTGCATGTTTGCAGTTAATATTCACTCCACTGTTACTAACTCAGTGACTTTCTTGCTATATTTAACAACATTTCAGACAAAAAAAAACTTGGTATCGACCAAAATCAAAATCAGCAGGTCAGGCTTTTAAAAGACCAGTAATTGGTGATCGTACAGAAAACTGCAGTGAACTCCAACTTACAACTTTTGAGTTAAAATAGAAGCACATCTAAGTCTCTTATGGCAAAACTACAAACATCTTTCTTGTGGGACAACATGAGAACATCAAAAGACATTAGGCGCATAGGTTTAACCTCGCCTGTCTAGTGAGAGTCCAACTGGCGGTTTAAACGTTCCCTGAATACAGCAGGACTGTGCCGTACTGTACAGCTCAGTCCAAACAAGGGATAAGACATGACAGGCTTGCTTTTGGGGCCCACTGCAGTCACTGGTACCAGTCAGCCTCTTGGAAAACAAGTCTTCTAAAAACCACTGAAAACCAATTCTAGATGTTGAATGTTTGGTTTGCCTCGCTTTGTCCAACAATATGTGCAATTTAAAGTGCAGTGAGAAGTTCGACAAACGTCTCTCCCTGATCCATCACTTGTCCTTTTTCTCGGCTTCTTGTGGGGATGTGTGAGGAGTCCCACTGTGCAGCACCAGCAGTCCACACAGAGTGAGAGAGATGCCTGTCCACCAGAGGGTGCTGTGAGTCTCACCAAAGATGAGTCTCCCAATGACAGCCTGAACACACCAACGGGATGCAACAAGAATGTGAAGGTTTTCCAAACAGAAACTTTGAGGCTATGAGCTTCTGGCTAACACTTACAGAGGAGATGAAGTTGGAGGCGGTGGTGGTGACTGTGACCCCTGCTGAAGAAGAGCCGTGACGGAGAGCTTTGGAGAACATCGTCCACATTAGAGTGTTACAACTGAGTAGCAGGACTCCACACAACAGCCGAAGAGGAACATGGAGCTGAGAACAGAGACACTGTTAGCTATGTATGTAGAGTCTTACTTAGAATCACAGGTCAAATTAATTAAAGACAGTTTTTTATATACGGTTTATTCTTTTTGAAACCTTTACACTGTAAAAATTGAGAAGTGGGTGATTTTACTGTAGTTGAGCTGTCTGAAACAAACTGGATAGATTCCAATTTGAAAACTGCAGTACTTTGACTAAATTATTCCGAAATGAAGAGGAACTCTTAACTACATAACGCCAACAAAATGAAAATTAGAATTAACATTTATGTATTTAAAAAATATATTTTTAATACAGAAATATAAGTATGCTTTTTTATATATAAAATGACTGCATCAATGCGAAATGGAATGGAGGGAATCCGCATGTGGGACTACTAAGGTGTTAAAGAAGCTGTCTCATCTTCCTCTGATACGCCATAAATCCTCTGTGCTTTACCTGAAGGAAGCAGTTCTCTGTTGCTTGTACATCTTTTTCCATCCAGTTATTTTTGTAATAATTGTTTTCTGCGCTCTGAACAGCTTCCCCAGCAACATTTCCCTTCTTTGTAGATTGTCAGTGGTCGGTTGCCATAATGCTACGTTAACATCGAAATTTTCAGAAAATTTTAATTTTGCGTTTTCATACGCCATAAGTAAAAACGTTGAGATATTACTATAACTTTCTTTTTTTTTGTATCGAATAACTGAAATAATATTCTAATTTCATTTGGATAAAACTGTAGATAAAATGTTTGACAAATGTAAAGATGTATGCCGCAACTTCAACCTCGTCACACTGGAACAACCAGTTTTATTCAACTAAAGAACCCGGAAGGTTTAAAAAAGCTGTTACCCAGTCACACCGTGTGGCTCCGCCGGAACCCTGCGTCCAGCCGCTCAGGCCGGACTCACACATCTCCCTCAGGTAGTCTGCACCGAGGGTTAGCTTCGCAGACAGAGAACCAGCAGCGGCCAGAAAGCCCGCTGACAGCGCGTAAACAGAGCTGGAATCCATCTTTGAAATAAGCCGACAGATGAATACGGCAGCGCGCGCTGGACAGTTTCACAATAAAAGCATGCCTACAGATTGTCTTTTTGAGACTGTGTATGACGGCGGAGCAGTATGGAAAACCAAAAGTGCCACAGAATGTCACTTTTACCACGTGACTGGGCAAAATGTCACGCAAAAAACTTTCAATAGAGCTCTTCATGATACCCAGAAACATATGATATGAAACAGAGACCACACACACTCTTTGCAACTTATGGAGTCCTATCTGTTTTAAGGAGACATCAACAATTTAACCAAGGACAAAAAGATAATACATAAACTTGTCAAACTTGGAAAGCCAATAGTTAGATTACAGTTTATCAGTATTAATGGATTAGATTTACTACACACAAAAAATCCAACATTTTTTTAAGACTACATTTAACAAAAAGCAATTCATCCCAGTATGGTAAGTGGCATTATAATTTACAAGAAGAAAGATCCAACAAAATTAATAATATTTCTGGCTATCCTCTTCTGCCAATATAATGAAATACATTTTGTTATATTGAGATTGTATCTATCTATCAAACAACTTTATAAATCAGATTTGAAACTGAATGTGATAATGAACATGAAATGATAGAATGTACTTTGTTTTGTATTTTGTTAGTCTGCAAAAAGTGTTGACCTCCATGCACATATCTGAAAATAAAAGAGTAGAATATCTTATAAACTAGAACATTTCTGATTAAATTTAAATGGGGCATGCCAAAGTGTGCCCGTCTGATGATACAAATTAGCATCGATGCTAAAGTAAGCTGCAATGTACTCAATAGCATGTGGAGAGTCACAAACATGTTGAGTAACATGGACTTAGTCCATCTGTATGTTAAAATTAGTGTACAAGTTAAAATGAGCCAAATTGCTAACATTAGCCTAAATGCTGTTGCTAGCATGTTGTTTTACATTTTCTTCCTCCATTCAGTATACTAAGTGTGACTAATAAATAAGAAAAATAGATAAAACCTATTATTAGGGAAAAGGCTAATGCTAATGGGGAGCAGTGAAATGCTAATGTTTGTGCAGTGATGTCATCACTCTATGATATCACAAGGGAATCTCTCTCTTGAATGTAGTTCACAGACAGAGTTTTCCCTGATCTGTTCCATAGTTCTATCGCGACAGATCACCTTTCAGAGCACATTCGACGTTCAGAGAAGCAAGAAGTTACTAGAATATAGACATGAAGCAACAACAGATTGTTTGCAAACATGAAGCTTTTCCAGCTAAGCTTTCATGGGTCGACTTGGTAGACCTCAACATCCAAGTCGACTACGAAGCTGTCATTTTCCCTGTTGAAGACGACAGCCCCATTGAGCCGGAAGATGAATCAGAGATCCAGGGGGAATCAAGTCCTTCCGGCGACTTTGAGAATCCAAGATCATGACCGACTTTTAGACTAATAGGGCGATATTTGTGCCTGTGAAGAGGGAGTTAAAAAGAGTTTTGGAGTCAGAAATCCACTGTGCTGTGTGTGTGTGTTTCAGAGAGAAATATTACTGATTCTGTGAGACACTCGATTTTTCTCGTTTTTATCAATTTATGTCGTCATTTACGTCAGAATCCCACTAAAAGTAATAGTTCCCTTCTCGGGATCAAGCTGAACGTTTTGATACCACTTTTGTGGGGGTGCACGCAGCGGTACGGCCGCATTAACGGTGACGGAAGAAAAATAAATAAACTATAATAATAGAGACATTCTATTGGGTGTAGAACAATAGTTGCCTGCCATGCAATGCATGGAGGCTGCTTTACCTATGCATTTCTATGGCAGGCACCAATTAATATAATTTTAAAATTATCATTATATAAATAAGTGCATAGATATCTACACTAAGCAAAACACAAACTCCACCTGCTAAAACTTTCTTTAGACAAAGTTGGAAAGTCACACGCAACAATAAAGATCGATTGATCAATATGTAGCATTTCACATATTCTACATATTGATCAATATACTATCCTTAATCAAAATTATTGACAAAAACAAACGCATTAAAATATTATTTTATAATAATGACTGATTTTATTTTGAAAGCGTCACTAGTTTTCCGCATTCCGAGTTTTTCACGTTGCGGCGATGTTTTGCACCAATCACAGCAGCTCTTGTAGTCACGTTCATGTTTTGGTGCATTAGCCTGGTTAGCCCGTTAGCTGAGCTTCTGTTGTAGATCATTTAGCGATGAATAAAGGGAAAGCTAGCGGCGTGTCGTGGGTCAAACCGGCGGAGCCGTCCTTTCTGAAGAAGTTTAAAACCGACGTGGGATACAAAGAAGGACCAAATGTTGACACCAAGGTAAGATTCTGTAGAAGTGGGACACGGTCAGCTTCAGGTTGGGACCCGTTTCATCACCAATTAAGTAATAATAGGGAATCGATTTTGTCCCTCCAGTCCCCCACCCCAAAAATTATTGAACTAGTCATCAAATTTAGACGAAACATTTTTAATCAGCCTCTCATTACAGCTTTACAAAACATAAATAATTTGTGATAGCATTTTCCCCCCCATTAAGCAGAGGGATAAATTATTCGGATCTTAAAGGAATGAATTATGAAATGAAATGTTACTTCAATATTTGGTCCCTGAAGAAGAGAATCGGTTCTTAAACTGGGCTGCATGTCGGGTAACTGCAGGAGGTGAGCACCGCCATTTTAGACACGTTTATCCTTCCCTAAATCTAAAGTATATTTGGTGATGAAGCTATTTTCTTGGTAATAATTTAGTTAAATTAAAAATTACTTAATTTATTCCAAAAAGAAATGAAATGTCATAAACTCATATCATCCAAGTATCTTCAAAGAGTTGTAGATGGTGATGCTGTGGGCAGGAAGGATCTCCAGTAGCAGTCAGTCTTGCAAAAAATCTAAAGAGGTCTCTGACTGAAGACTCACCGATACTGTATATTGGTCTTATGACATGCTAGAAGCTCAGTATCTGGGCAGCTCAGATGATATTTCACAGTAAGACCTCTTGGATGGAACCATAAGTTTTTAGATAGTACTGCTAATCCAGCTCATTTGTTTTAGCTTCTTGCATAGTGTTCTGCACATCCTGGTTTAACTGAACAGGTGAGCTTAGTACAATGGTTGCACTGTGTACATCAAGGTTATTATAGTTAACAAAAACTAACCAAATAATGAAAACGGAAATTGAGAAAAAATTTTTAACGGAAATAAATCCATCCATCCATCTTCTTCCGCTTATCCGGGATCGGGTCGCGGGGGCAGCAGCTTCAGAAGGGAGGCCCAGACTTCCCTCTCCCCAGCCACTTCTTCCAATAATTAATGGAAAAAACGTATAACTGTAATTATATTGTGTTTATAAAACGTATATGAAATGATATAATTTTCTTTGTTTTGTTTATTAGCCTTTTGAAATGATGTGAAATATATATATATATATTTTTTTTTTCCACCACACAAGCAGTTTACATCAACTGTTAGCAGATTAATGTTCTCCATTCTCCTCTTGGCAGCACATAAGCTGTGCCGCAAAATGGAGACAAACAACTGGGAGACAGAGTCAGTCGATGTTCAGCAATTAAATACATTTTCTGAAAATGCTATCTCCTGTTGAGTATTTATTACCCAGTGGATGTTCACAATACAGTACTTTGACCTTTTGAATACTACACCTAAAAAATTAACCAGTTTGTAAAAAACCATTACGGTAGCTAATAAAAAGCAAACAATATTTAATAACTAATAAAAGCTAGCTAGCACACTCCAAAAGTTAACTGAATTAGACAAAAAGTCACAACAAAGAGTAAAACTTAACTTGAGTTACACAGTTTTATAACCCTGGTGGACATTCTATACAATAAGCCCTCTAGTGAAACTCAACATGTGTTAGACTTGACCTTATTAGACCTTTTCCTATCTTTGCTCTCTCAGCGTCAGGCGATGCCCACGCCGGACGACGACAGCGGAAGCGACCGAGAAGACGAACTGCCTCAAGTCGTGGTCCTAAAGAGCGGAGACCTGAGTGCAGACGAAGTGAAGAAACTCAAGGGTGAACTGCAAACCGGAGGCGAGGGTGAGAAAGGTCAGGTCGTTCCTCTAGTTACACAACGGGAGACAGCAGCGGTTGCAGCGTTAAAACCCTTTGCCTTTTCCTCTCTGTCCCATTCACAGGTGAAGAAGCTCCTCCGGATGGCAAAATTCTCTTCAAGAAACCAGCCAAGCGCTTGTCCTCTGACAAGTTCCAGGGCATCACTGCCAGCTCCAGCAAGAAGAAGAAGGAAGACAGAGCAGGAGAGCAGGAGGAGGACAAAGACAGAAAATCTGGGAAGAAAGTTAAAAATAACAGTCTGCTGTCATTCGGAGATGATGAAGAGGAAGAGAACGATTAAACGGAAGACACGAGTGAAGGATAGAAACCAGAAGCGATGTTGAGGAGTTAAATGTTGTCATGTTTGGTCTGAAAGGACGTCTCCATTCTCCTGTGTTTGCTGCTCAGAAATCTGAGAACAGTTTTCACCTCCAGCTGGACCAGCGATCATTTCTGACAAAATCCACAACCGCTTTCATGTGTATCCGGTACCGCTCTGACGTCTCCAGCAATTCCTCTACTCTTTCTGTTGCTTTTAAAAGCCATACTTTTTCAGACTGAGTTTTTTCAGAGTTTCTAAAACTCTCCATTGTTCATTTTGGGTAATGACCTTTTTTTTTTCTACTTTAGACGAGTGGACAACAAATTATCCTTGGCAGCTGTCCTCAGATTTTTAAAGACCTGACCGAACTGTAGAGATGGATCAGCCAGCTGGTCCATCAACTGCCATGACTCTAACTTTACTAGAAATACCAGCATCACTGCTCCGGGATCTTACCGAGTCCAAACCTTCTTTCATCAGCACCACTGAAAAAAGAAGGAAAAGTGGCACATAATATATGATATAAAGGCATATTTAGAAACCCAGCACAGTGCTGCCTGTAGCTCACAATGTAAGGAGTCCCATCTGTCTGCACAGAGACATTCTGCGTGTCACATCAGCAGAACGCCATGGAGGCCCAAACCTGACCGTTACAAAGAAAATCTGAAATATATAAATGGCCCAATAAATCAATCAATACACTTAAAAAGCACCAATGAATTTACTAAAGAAGAATTTTATCTCATTTATTAATTCACTAATCAATAAATGATGCTTCATACTGTCTGATTTTAGTTGGCTATGAGTTCTACAGTGAAATATTTTATCATCTGACAATACATTATGGGGGGACTATGACCTGTTAATGCAATTTTTCATCACAATCCCCTCCAGATCATAAAAAAATATGTAATTTTTATATCAATCTGACAAAATCTTTTGATGGTTTTTTGCAGTAGTGTCCTCCAGTTTTTTTTTTCTTGTTAGATGTTTCTATTTCTTGCTTGAGGAGTATTTTTTAATTATTTAAACTTATATTTTACATATTTAAAAAAAACATGATTGAAAAACAGGTCAATTTAAGATAAAAATTGCGGGGGGCAGGGCGGTTTGGCATTTTTTCCCTCATCTTCCCTCGAACTTTGAGGCCACCCCAGCGCCCTCTTGTGGCCCCCACTTTGAAACACACCAGGTCAATTCATACTTTCCAAGGAAAACACAAGTGTTAAAGAAACTTTAATCGAACCTCTTTATTTCAAAAGGTATGATCAACTCCCACACCTGCATCCAGATCATTACAATTGATGGAAGAACGTTTTCTCTCTGAAAATGGAGCCCGGATAAAAACCTTGAATTACGAGGACGGGACGGGTGCGCTTGCTTTAGTCTCTGCACCGTCTGCTGTCCGTCTAATAAATACTTCCCCCCCTGACAGAGCAGCTGAGGAAAAGCCCAGCTGTTTCTGATGAGGCCTGTCCCGACGCGAACAGCTGGATGTTGTGGCAGAAGCCTCACAGCAGAGGTAAAGTCGGCTCTAGCAAGACTCAAACTGGTTTTCACCGCAGCATCCAGGAGCGAAAAGGGAAACCGAGGAACTGTGTGACTGGGGGGAAATTTAAAAAGCACGGTAATGTTGCACAAACAGAAATCTGCAGGCAGGACGCGGGTTTGGAGTCACGTTTAAAGTAAAAGTGACAGAATCCAGTGAGGCGTGATAAATGGTGCTGACCCAGCAGATGGAAACATGGCGGCTGGTTTCCAGCCTGTATGACTGAAGGAACCTTCTCGAAGAGCTGAAGTGCTGTCATGAGTTCCTGAAAGAAGAGCGGTTAACATTTGGCTCTAGCATCCTGCTGCGGTTACAATAAGGGAAGGTCAAAGGCCATGGTTTTGTTTTTGCTGCACCTCCTGGATGAGCTGCGCTCCGTTTCCGGACGGAACCTTCTGGAGAAATTGATTGGTCTTGATCTGCTGCATCTTTACTCCTGCTGTGTGTGTGTGTGTGTGTGTGTGTGTGTGTGTGTGTGTGTGTGTGTGTGTGTTTCTGGGTGAAGGTCTCCTGTCCTGCTGTCAGTCTGCATCTGCTGGTGGTCAGCTCCCTACAGAGACTTCTTGGTCATTTTCTTGCCCTTCTTCAGGGACAGCTTGTTCCTGATGAAGCCCCGCTTCCTCTTGGCTGTCTGCACACAAGAACAAAACAATAAATACACATCAGGTTGAAATTATTCAGAAGTATTCAAACCTTTTTTTTTTTTTTTTTACATTTAATCACGTTGCAACCATAAATGTGCTGTATTTCAGTATGACATCATTTTGATCTGGAAGGAAAATGATTCCTAGTCTTTACAAAAAAATGTTTTTGTGGTGTTTGTTTAAGCCTTCCTGATTGGGCAGAGATCGTCAGAGTGTCAGTATTCCCCACAGATTTGTTACATTAAACCTACATCTACATTTTAACTGTAGATGTAGGTTTATCACTGCAAAAACACCAAATCTTACCAGGTGTTTTTAGTTTAGTTTCTAGTGAAGATGTTTAAGTTCACTTGAAATAAGACAGAACTAACTTACAAGTAACTCTTCAGACAGATATGAGCTTGTTTTAAGTCAACTTATTAATTACATGGAAAAAATATACTGTAATAAGTAAAATAATCTACCAATGGAAATATTATATTTTTAAAATCAATATTGAAGAATTATTTACTTAAAACAATCTCCTACATCTTACTGTAAAGTTAGTTATAAGTTTTGATTTATTTCAAGAGTACCAACTTATTTGCAGTAGAAACTAAAGCTACTTATTAATATTTGGTGTTTTGCAGCGATTGTCCTGATGGAAGGTGAATCTGTTGTATGAAATGCATCATAGTGTTGGGGTAACCCTGACCCTTACCTTTTTGGAGGTGTACTTCTGCCTGAGGATGTCGGTGCTGCGCAGCTTGCCCTCCAGCCGGTCCCGGTTCTCCAGCTTCTTCACCTTGTATATCCGGACCAGCCAGTGCTCGGAGGTGAAGGCCTCCTCCAGGTGCTTCAGCTTTATGTCCTTGTTGCCGATCTCGGCGTTACGGGTCCGGTCAAAGCCGGGAGGGGTCCGGAAGTCCAGCTTTTTACCAGACGTGAACAGAAACAGAAAAACATAAAGGTGGTGTTCTGATTTGATGACACTGGTTGCTGTGGTAACAGCAGCTGGTACCTGCATCTCTCCGAAACGGTAGTAGGACATCTTGTACATGAGGCAGTTGAGCAGCGTGGGCGAGCCGGCCTTGTCCACCCGGAACTCTCCCTGGGGGGTGAAGTAGTCGCTCTCCTGTGAGAGTAGGGTCGGGTCAGAAAAGCAATAAAAAAAAGTCTTGATACCTGCGGGGTCAGAGGTCAGCTTACCCTGATGTCCTTCGGGTGCTCCCCCTCGGCGATGCGAACCATCCACAGGAACTTGTTGATGTCGTCCCCTGAGTAGCCGATCACCCCGCCGAAGATGATCAGGACATAGTCCACATCCAGAGACCTCATGATGTCATAGGCCGCCGACTCATTGGATGACATTGCCTTGCCCACCTGCATCAGAACACACACACACCACACTGAGCACATACTCATTGTTCAGCCGCAGGGTGAACATGTCTTCCTTTTGGTGGAGGATGATGAAGACGACACACTTCGTTCTCAGAGCGTCCACCATGTTGAAAAAAAAAAAAAAACGGCATTCATTAACGGATGAAGGACCTCAAAGCAGATTTCATTCAACCCAATAATAATCTGATAGTTTGATCTTGTAGGAATTCATTATCTGTTTTGTCAGAGAATCGTTCCAGAAGGTTCCATCTGTGAGTAGGAAGGATCTCCTGTAGCAGTCCGAGTTCCTTTTACTAATACAGTGTTCACTCCTTGCAAAGTTCCCCAAAAATTTTCAAATGAAGTCTGATTGACAATCCTCTTAAGTATGTGATTTTCCATCCACATTTTTTCTTTCCACTTAATTTTCTCTTAATATGTTTAAATTGAACACTCTGAACAATCAGCTTCTTGTGGACCTTTATCCAGTCAGGGTGTCCTACTGACTCAGAGAAGTGTAGAGGTTCAGGAAACCTCAGCAGGTGTTTGGAGTTCATTTGCTGATTAATGTGTGAAAACCATCAGTTTCCCAGTTATTTTATGACCTGTGTTCTTAATGTCTGAGACAATAAATTTTGGGTTTTCATTCTCTGTAAACCATAACGATCAAAGTTGCAAGAAATAAAGGCTTGAAATATTTCTCCGAGTCTCCTTCAGACGAGCCAGCTTCAATTAGCAAACAGCTGGTGGAACTGAGCATCAGCTGAGCTCATTATAGGAGCTACTTCTCAGTGAAACAGATAAAAACATTAAAGGGTTAATAGAAGAGCCATTATGTGAAGGCGTCCTGGAGGCGGAGTTTCAGAAAGAGCAGGAGTTTCTTAAAGAGACAGAGGCCCAATTTAAAGGTGCTAAATTACAAAGTCAAATTTCTTTTAAGTAATGTGATGTATAACAACTGAAGTTAACAGCTATTTAATTTTTCTATGAAATGTCACCATGTGGCTGAAAACCACAAGATGCTGCCCCATTAATTATAGTTCTGTTAGAGGAATCAGCATGTGGGGGATCTGCAATGTTATTTATCATCATTTGGAGAGTCTTTAATGAAAAGCTGTGTGGAAGCAGAGGCGGCTCTCACCAGAGCGATGTGGCTGTTGTTCCAGGTGTTGTTGTCCACCAGAGTGGTCCGGTTGGCCATGCCTGCTATCTGGTAGCCATAGTCCCACCATGACATCACTCTGGCGTGTTCGTCTGTGTTCTGCCTCAGCCAGTAGTACGCCTCCCGGAAGTCGTCCAGGATGTTCCGGGACCTGGCCGGGACAGACGGAAACATGTCATCCATGTGCTTGCCTCGAACACCCCCCCCCCCCCCCCCCCCCCCCCAACCCTGCCAACGACCCCGGCTTGCGACTTGGCTCACCCGTCGTGGTTGTAGGACGCCAGCACCACGCTGGGGCTGGAGTAGGCATTGCTGGTGACCCAGGTGCAGTGGACGGCGAACATCATGAGCAGCATGAGCATCAGCATGGTGACAATGGACTTAATGTTGGGGCCCAGGCCCTCCTCCGGCTTATCCTGCTCAGAAACGTGTTTCCTCACCTTGCCGGCCTGCAGGGGGCGAAGTCAGGACAGGTTAGTGAAGGTCCAGTAGGATTATTACACACATGCAGAAGAAAGCAGCTGGTTATCAATCACTTCAAGTGTCATGGTGGATCAGATGTCATTAAAAATCTAAAAAGGCTTTTTAGATACTTTTTAGAGCTGCAGCTAATTGTTATAGCCATAGATTATTCAGGCAAACAGAAAAAATTTTACATTCTGCAGATTTTTCATTTAACCACTTCACGCCTTTTTTTTTATACAATATTAGAAATAGCAATTCAACAGATTTACAGACAGATTTATTTTCTAACTTCGCATTCAGTTCAAAACAACAGCTAGCGGGCCAATCACAGGTAAGGCAGCATGCCTCGGGCCCCTGGCGGCCCCTCACCTTATCATAGAGGTTTCCTGCGTTCTTCCTGTCGTCCTCGTCACTGCTGTCCTCTGCGGGCGGACTCTGTCTCTTCATGTCGTCACCCAGGTAATGCTCGAAAACGCTGGAGAAGGCCACGGCCGACAGCATGCACACCACCGGGGTCAGAGTGAGCATCAGGCGCACCATGACGCCGGCGAAGTACACGGCGCTGATGGCGTACAGCGCCACTGGAGGCAGGAGGCAGACGGGGTTAGAGGCACTCAGCTACAGATGAAACCACAAGTTTGCATACTCCTGAATAATAATAATAAAAAGAAAAACACACTTTTTATTCCTTACTGTCTGAAGTTACATCAGACCAAACTTCTCTTGTTTCAGGTCAGTTAGAATTATTTCAATTATTACTATTTGCTAAATGCCACAACCAAGAGACAGAGAGACAGACAGCTAGGGATAAAGACAACGCTAAGCCCCGCCTCCTGGCTCTGATTGATCGTTTCTAGTTAGCACTGGGAGAAGACAGAGGAGCTCCATTTTTTCACAGATTATCTGTCACATAACACACTGTCACAACATGGTGATAGTTTCAACAAATCTTTAAAAAAAAAATTAGTTTTTTTTTTAATAAAAGTTACTAATTGCTGCTTTAATGGATAGTTGTATTAATACATTCTGCCATTACTGAACCTTTAAGGTCATCCATATTCTTGATATGGCCCCAAAATTCTACAGGCCGTCACTGTGAAACGACAGAGTTCCTTTTCCTACAGTTTGTTTGCAGTGATGGATCCTACTTCACTTTCTGTCAGTAAACACAAACTCTGCTTAAAAATCATCAAAGTGGCTCTGACGATAACTCTGGCTGCCGGTTTCAGGACCTCTGCTGTAAACAACATGTCGATGTTTTGACGTGAGCTTACCAAAGACGCGTTCATCATTGATGTTCCTGATGCAGAACCAGAGGCCAGCAGGGAACGTACAGACCAGGATGTGGAGGTCGAAGAAGAACGAGACCCAGGTGGTGGGCTGATGCTCCGACACCGAGGCGATGATGGGAATGTGGATCTTAGCATAACTGTGAAGGAGAGACAGCAGCAGCCTTTAGAAGCTCTTCTTCCACTTTATCTCCCCCCATGAATGTTATTCTACAGACAGGAATGTCTTTAATCGAACTGTGAGAACTCACCCGGTGTCCCACAGGGAGTAGAACCGGCCGCTCCACGGAGCAATGTACCCTGGAGGGGAAACATGCAATGTTTGAGCTAAACAAACCAAAATGAACACACACTGCAGGGTGTGTGCCAGTGGTGTGACATCTATACAGTAGTTTATGTGCCCTGCATGGGAAGACCCACTGCGCAGGTGAACATCAACATGTCTGGCACTGCAGCATATGCAATGTGATCTACAGGTTGCATGTGATCATCATGGCAACCTGTTCCATGTTTTCTAAAGATAACATGGAATGAAGACGGCGTCTCTGAGGTTAGGGGGGTACACAATATATCAGCATTGATCAGATATAAGTAATTATTTAACATATCGGTATGGATCCAATGAGTAAAACAAGGTTGCTAATAGCAACTGATGTTTATTTCCTTCTTGTTGCCATTTATGTTTCTGGAGGAAGCTGGTCATGTGGAATTTATTCAATTATGTGACAGTGATGGCGCAGAGGATTGTGGGTAGTTTAACTGAAGCAGAGAAGCGGAGTGGTCACTTTTACAAAGGTGTAGGAAAATATACATATAATATCAGTAAATATCAATTATTGGCTATGACTGCAGTATTAACATTGGTCCAAATTTTCATTTGTGCATCTCTGAGATTCCATCAGCTGCATACTACACATATGAGTCACTGCTTCAGAATGTACATAATGATAATTTATTCATATAGTGGATGTTGACCAAAGTGCTGTACAATTCATTACAATAAAGATAATAATAAGAACAAGAAAAAAAATATAAAAGTCAAGTAAAAAAAAAAACCCACAAATATACACAATAAATGTCATCATAAAAGAAACTTTTACTTCTAAAATCCCAAGCTACACTGTGCAGACGCTTTGCCTGGACTGTTAAAGATTGATGTTCTCTGCATGTCAAATGTTTGAAGTGTGATGAACTAATACCCCAAGTGGTCAAATTTCCTAATAATTTGACCACTTGGTGGCACCCATACACTTTATAAAGTATTCAATTTTCTCTTCAACAGCCACGTTCCTAAACTAGTTTAAAGTTTACTGGATAAATGTGGTTGTGTTACATTAGTTGATCAACAAAAGGTCACTCAGAACCATTTTGGTTTGAGAACAGGCTCTGTGCCAACACACTGTGTGTTTCCTTCTTCACTGAGCCAAGTTTTTGCCACCTGCTGCATAAATAATACATGTGATACTTTATTTCTTAAATTCATCATTTCTAGATCCCATAAATCAAATACTTGTACTACCAATGACAGGGTAGAAGGCTGAATAATAAGGATGATTATGTTTTATCTGAACAGAAATAGCTGCTAATTGTTTGAGCAAACTGCTTTGGTGCTGAAACACCTGTGCAGTTATGGTTCTGATTAGCAGTTTGTCACAACTAGATGATTTGTGCAGAAACAATAAAAACAGCATACATTTTTAAACACAGATTAGATTTTAGATTTGATTTAGCAAGAACAAGACGTAAAAGTAGGGGGAAACAAAACAACAAAGCATCATATTTGTGTTTTATATCTGTAAATGGCTGCCCTTCTCTCCAAGGGGTTTATTATTTTGTTTATGTCATTAGCATAAATGTGTTAAGAATGAGAACAGGCTCCATGTGGAACAGAAAGTATTTTAACAGCACTTTGCCAGCTAAGAAGAGAAGCGGCTGGCAGAGTGTTCACCTCGTTTTGTCGTTCCTGAGCTTTTAGAACCGAGTGATTTGGCTGTAGTGAGCTTGTTGTGTCTGAGTTACCAGCTGAAAAAGCAGACCCATTATCATTGACAGGGTAAAAGCCCCATCATGGTAATTGCTATCAAAACAACCTTTGCTCGCTAATTCCAGAGTTGTTCCCTCGCAGCACGACTCTGCGGCATGAACAGGAATGGACTAACGCGCTCATTCAGCTCCGCATTAGCTTTTGCCAGACGATTAGCTTCGTCATCCAAACTAAACACAATGGTAGCCATTTAATCTCAGGTTTTCAGGGTGATCTCATAGAACCCCTTTAACAAAACACTAAAATGAGTAGCTGTAGCTGATTGTACTACAGTAGGTTTGTTTTATTTTTCTAATTTATATCTAAAGTGTATTTATAAATTAAGTTGTACACCATGTAAATATTTTCTCTTCCCTTTAAGCTGTTTTTTTTGTTTGCCACCTCCATGAGGAAGGGTGGGTAGAAGTCATTACATCTCTGTTATGGTGCTGATTTGTCAAACGAGCTCAAGGCTGACCATCGACAGACGAGTTAGCTTAGCGGGTCGAGGGGGTGATGGTTTGTGCAACCAGCCAGCAACAGGATATATAGGCGCACATCTACAGGAATGAACACGTTGATAAAGTTCCATACTTTATCTCAGTCGATTCAGAAGTGAAAGTGAAACTTATATCTGGCGCCCCAAACCATCCCTGACAGTGGGAACTTCACTCTGAACTTATAGTAACATAGACTCTGGTCTTCCAGACTCTGGGATCATAATTTTTTAAATGAAATGAAACTTTTCACCTGATGAAAGGACTTTGGACCACTAAGAAACCGTCCAGTTCATTTTCTCTTTAGTCCAAATAAGAGGCTTCAGGCGTTCTCTCTGGTTGGACACCAAGAACAGAACATTTGTAGCCCATGTGTAGGATTCATCTGGATGTAGCAGCTCTTTAATCCTCAGTCCATTCCTTGTGAAGATCCCCAAAATTTGTGAATGGATTCTGCTCATCAGTCCTGTCAAGGCTGCAATTCTCCCTGTTCTGGTTCTGGTGCAGCTTTACATGTTTTCCTTGCTATGACTAGGCCTGTCACGATAACAAATTTTGCTGAGCGATTGTCTAAAAAATTATTGCGATAAACGATAATATTGTTTCAAGACCTTTCGACACTGATTTAATGGAAATTACTAATAATGCATGCAATTTCCTGCCATAGATAGATACATTTTATTTTCAAAATAACACATAACACTGGAACTAATAAATTAAATAAACAAAACAACCAAAAACAAAAATAAAATGGATTCTCAGTCTCCATTAACAAAAAACGTACTTTAATAAAAACTAAACGACACAAAGCCAAAGTGGAAATAAATACTGCATTCAACCAAAATAGTGCAGATTATGAAGTCTGTATTGCCCTTCAGTAATCACTAGATTTAAATGGAGGAGATGGGCACATCCGACTACCTAATGCAGTAGTTCACACTACACGATTTTTTGCCCCCATTTTCCCCTTACGATAATCTTAGAAAGTTGGCCGATCTAAGATTGTCTTAACCGATGATCCTGTAGTGTGATGTAGATCGTCGTGGCCGCTCCGATCTAAATCAGGAGTTTTCCCCGAATGGGAGCTTAACGCTGAATGTGACAGGGAGCCAATCAGAAAGCGCGGATTCTCCTCTGTGATTTCTGAGGGGAAATTACGAGGGGAATCCCAAACAGCTGACACAGCGACAGGAAGTCCAGCGGACATCTGAGATGATATGTGGAAACAACATTAATGTTTATTCAACATTTTGTGCAAAGAATATAGAAATGACAAGGGAAGGAGTTGGAGCCAAATTGCTACCGCAGTTGATGAACCCGGTAAGTTTTCAGCTGTTCTTCGTTAACGTGACATGAATGGGTTATAATGATTTTCATTCAGTCAGGACTTTACGCTGACTCTAGCCACATGCATCACAGGTAGATTCTAGTAAAGCATTGATTAATGTCTGGTTTTAAAATTAGTTAACTGGACTTGTAGCCATTATTTTGTGCCCATGTGGCTGGACACCACACGGCACGACGAACCCGATCGAACAGTTATACCTAGGATGTCTGTCGGCTAATGTGTGGTGGTCTCAGGTTTTGAAAATGGGCTGACAACTCTTTTAGTGTGCGCTGGGCATTACAGAAAGGAAATGAAGAATGGAGGGTCAGTGAAGAGCACCGGAGTTGAGCCTTTTTCATTCAGTGTCAACAGAAAGAAAAAACGGCAGGAAGAGACGATAAAGCTGATAATTAAAATGAGGTCAATAGGTTTAATTTATTGTGCAATTAATTGATTTATCATTTATTGCGACAGGCCTAACTATGACTGTGCTTGGATGCAGTACTCTGAACAACCAGCTTCTTTACTAGTGACCTTTTGTGGCTTCCTCTCCTTATGGAGGATGTCATGACTGTTTTCATCCTTGAGAGAATTCGGAAACCTCTGCAGGCATTTTCAAGTGAAAGTCTGGTTCGTTTGAGAAGGTGTGAATGCATAATCAAACTCTAATGCAGACCAGAAAAAATAAAGATCTGGTCCACCTACAACCCTACGTCTCAATTCGGTTGAAATAAACTCTGGTGCGGTTCAAATGTATCTTTGAATGCCAAGCTGACTGGAGACCACTCCAAAAGCAGGAAGTGGACTTTAGCGCAGGGAATTCAGGAAAAATGCAACCAAAACTAATGTGTGAGTCTAGCTCTAGAGGGAGAATATGGTTCATGGTCTTTTGTCAAATGGAAAAGCGAAATCCTACAACCACTAAAGTCTGATGCCACTCCATTATGTTTACGTTTTGTGAAAAAGGAAGTTGTTTGCATGTCTTTTTCAGAAGTTTTCATGTCATTTCCTTCAGTCGTTCTTGGTGCAGTGTGAAAGAGAACCACAGCAGCTAAAAATAGAACTAATGTTGCAATTTTGGTCAGCGAGTCTACTGGCCTATCGGGTGTGAAAACAGCCTTAGTCATTGGAGTAATGGTGTGACAATGACTCGTCTACCTTTTTGACAATATTCAAATTTTCTGAGACAATTCATTTTGGATTTTCATTATTTGTAAGCCATAATCAAAAAGACAAGAAATGTAGGTGTGAAATATTTCACTATATGTAAAGAATGTGCATAAAATGAGTTTCACTTTCTAAAAAAAGTGACAAAAATATATTGATCTTTTTTATGACATGCTAATTTTTTGAGACATACCTGTACAGGCGTAAACAAGACCCAGAAGTCATGATTAAGGTGAGATATGTCATTCATATTTTAAGCATAGTTTTTCCATCATTATTCTTCTTGAAAATCTTGTGAACTCTGGTCAGAGGGATGCCAGAGAAGTCTCACTTCTGTTGGATTATGACAGAAATGTTTAGTGAGAGAGTCTAAAGCTGTGAATCGCAAGGGCTACAAAGCACCAGCAGTAAAATATTTAACCTCCAGTTGAACAGATTTTGTTTCTAGTGTT